GTTGTCGTCGATCGCCGATGCAAGGCGTGATAGAGCATCGGCGTGGCTGTTCTCGGATCTGGGGATCTGTTGAACTTGGTACGCAGTGAAGTGGTGGAGCAATCGGCGAGCGTGTGTCAAGTAGGCAACCATCGAAGTGTCTTTGGCTTCAAATTCAGTCAGTATCTGGTTGACGACAAGTTGCGAGTCGCTACAGATCCTGAGTTGCTGAGCGCCCATTTCTTTAGCGAGCCGAAGGCCTGCCAACAGAGTTTCATATTCGGCTTCATTGTTGGAAGTCCGGAATTGGAATCGGATGGCATACTCGATGGTTGTTTGGTCAGGGGCCTTTAGTACCAGGCCAGCTCCGCTGCCCTGTCGGTTGGACGAACCGTCCACGTAAAGAGTCCAAAGGGGAATCGACGGATTAAAGATGAATCGGAGGCGGCGTCCTTCGAATCTGGCCCCTCGGACGCGGTCAACTCAGAGATGAAATCGGCTACAGCCTGTCCCTTCTCGGCAGGACGAGGGTGGTAGTGGATGTCGAATTCGCCGAGCTCGATGGCCCATTTGACTAGCCGACCGGATGTCTCCGGTCTCTGGAGTATCTGGCGCAGAGGCTGATCGGTGAGGACGGTAATGCTGTGAGCTTGGAAGTATGGCCGAAGCTTGCGTGCTGAAAGGACGAGAGCGTAGGCGAGTTTTTCTAGCTCGGGGTACCGAATCTCAGCGTCTTGCAAGGCATGGCTAGTGTAGAAAATGGGGAGTTCTATGTCGTTCGGCTTGCGAATGAGCACAGAGCTAAGTGCCGTTGCGGAAACCGAGAGGTAGAGGATGAGTTCTTCGCCGGGAAGAGGAGTGGATAGTAGGGGTGCTCTGCTCATGTAGGCCTTAAGATCTTGGAAGGCGCGATCGCATTCGGCAGTCCAGACAATCTGCCGTTTGCTTCCTTTGAGGGCTTTGAAGAATGGAGCGCACCGATCGGTAGCCTTGGAGATGAACCGGGCTATTATGCAACGTTTTCAGAATATGAAAAGTCGTCGAGGACAATTGTAAATTTACTTATTAGACAATGCTATTAATATTTAAAGTTTGAAATATTTTTTGTTTGATTATATATTGGTTGAATTTCTTTAAGCCCCCAGATGAACGAAAGTCTGGGTCTGCCACTGGTCTCAGTCTCACATGTTCGAACCCCAATGAATTATGTAAAAAGCCTACATTTGTGTAATAAACTCTCCTCCCCATATCCTTTGTATTTTAAAAAAAAAACTAAATTACGTAAAAATAAATATATTATTTTTAGGTATATTAATGTGTCTACGTATATGCTCAAAGTCAAAATTGGGGCCTAATTTTCTCTTTCTTTTTTGCCATGATTATATTGGAAACTAATTCCTAGTTCCCATTTGTTCATGAAGATGGAATTAATTAATACCCTTTTTTTTTTCGTTGAATGAATTTGAGGGGAAATCATTTCCCATGTCATTTCCCAAAGGATGAGAAATGGAAGATTCATTTCCCACGTTTGGTAATGCTGGGAAAGTAATCGAGAGATATCACTTTATTTCTTTTCTCATGTTTGTTTTGAGCGTGAATGGAAAACAAAGTTTGTATAAATTTTCAATTATACCCATATTAAATCAAATAAAATAAAAAGGAATGCATTTAATGATATATTGTAATTCTAAATTGTTAATGGGGACAAAATGGTCATGAAAAATGTTTATTTACTATTGGCTCATTTTCCTAAACTTTCCCATGAGGAGGGAAAACAAAACCCAAGTTGGGAGGATGACTTCATTTTCCCCCTACTTTCCCATGGGCCAGGCAACGATTTCCCATGCCTAAACTTACCAAATATGGGAAAACAATTGATTTCTCATCCCCAAATCTCCTTTCCCATAAACCAAATGGGGCCTTCAGTACAAGCAATAGACTAAATTATAGGGATAAGGATTTCACACACACACAACCAAGATGTCATGGGGTTAGAACCTGAGACATCTTATCTGCAAATTAAGGCCATTTTTCATTGGGCTATGCCATGTTGGCTTTGTAAATTGTACCCTAGCTACTTATACGACGGTAATGTTTACCATTATGATGGATCCAGCTAGCTAGCTAACACTAACAAATAGTGAATCAAAATAATTTAAAGGTTCTTTTGTACTGACAACAGTGTGTTTCCTCCTCAGGAAAAGTCTTGAATGGTGCTGTAAATGATTGGACCCAGTACAGAGCATGGCACTGAGATATTTGTGGCCCGGGCGGGCCCTATATATAGAGGTCGTCCTCCTAATAGTGGTTTCCAACTTTCCATGCCCTATTGGCGATTTTCACACCTCATAACCCTAACAAAGCCTTCCATTTCATTGAGAGGTGGTGGCACAGGTCATATATCATTCAACAACCATTACGTACCCAATTAACATTTGACTTCTAAATTCCTATGGTACAGTACATTATACATATCTGATTAATGGTCGTATCATTTTAGAATTTTAAGGTTAAACGTGTGGTGTGGAAGAAAAAACACATCAAACACAGAAAAAACGTTGCTCGATCGATCATGATTTTGTCCTAGGGTGACAGATTTTCTACGAAGTTGCCGTTGATGTAAAGCCTGGTTGAAAAGTATCAGTCCTATGAAAACATATGGACGAGGTTTCGTTGCCAGTTGAAAACTATCAGCCACAAACCGAAATGTAATCTCATTATCTATATATAGCGTACTGATAGTGATGATACTTTGATGGCTTATTAGGCCATTGGGTGGGGACCTTGGTCGAAAACGTTTTCCACGTATCGATGGTTTATGTTATTACACATGAATAATAATGTTAAATTTGTATACCAATCAAACTTTACTAACAGGATGTATTCTAGTGGACAAAAGTGCGCATTGATTTGTAAATTAACAGTATCAAGTTTGAACCCTCTTTTTCGGTAGTTTAAATTATCGTTTGTATTTTGTTGTTAGAAACAAGTTTTATTAAGAAGATAACCACAAGATAACCAATGCCCGAGCCATGCAAAAAACACACTACATAGATAAAGTTCACTACAAACATAAAGCCCACAAAAAAAAATTTCCATAACTTATCAACTGTTTGTGCAGGTGTGGATAAAATAAGAGATAGTCTAAATTTATTTCTTGGCAAAATTGTAGTAATGGTCCCTCAAACAAGACCCCACTTTACTTTTCTTCCCCCAACTTCAAAAATTGTTATAATCGTCCTTCAATTAGATCTGTAGTTGCACTAGTTTTGATTGTTTTTCTGCTAAAATTAAAGGTAAATTAGAAAATTCATATCAAATTTTATTAGATAAATAAACTCATTTATAAAAATAAAAATAAAAACCAGTGTCCCCACTCTCCCCACCCCCACCCAGCAACTGAACCAACCACTGCCATTACCCCTACCCCTACCCCCTCCCTCAAATAAAAACCTCTCTCTCAATTTCCTGCAATACAGAACCAAATGCCAAGTCATAGAAGCCCCAAAACGCAAGAACAACCACAATATACCATCAACAAAATCTACTTTTTTTTTATAATCAATACAGAGAGTCATTGTCCCCCACCTGCTGTCGTTTGGGGTCTACCAAAAATCACAAATCCACCCCCAAAAAAAAGAGAAAAAAAGAAAAGAAAAAAGAAAATGTCGTTTGGGGTCTCCTTCATCATTCCCACTCCCTTTCTGCGAGTTCCCTGTAATCTAATAATGACTTCCATTTCCAAGCGCTCCAATCCCAGCCCTGCTTCATCCTTATCGTCCACTTTTTATTTATCGAGAGAAGGGAGGGGGGGTAGGGGTTTGGGTAGAATGAGGTGGTGACTAGGTAAAAGTCTTATTTGTCCCTAAAATTTGATATGAATTTTCCAATTTGCCCTAAATTTTGATAGAAAATTGAACAGAATCGAGGGAAGTACGATATGTGCAATGCGATATCTAAATAAAGGATGATCATGATAATTTTTGGAGTTGAGGGACGAAAAGTAAAGTGGGGTGTTATTTGAGGGAACATTCCTACAACTTTACTTTGTTTCATCAAAATTTTGTTTTAAGTGTTTTTTATTTTATTTTTTAGTAATAAACGAAGTTTTAAGTGTTATTTGTGAAGAGACACTGTATGAATTTTACAAACAAATCAATTTAAACTTCATATAGAACCCAATTTTATTTTTTTCTGAAGTAGAAAGTCAATATAATTGTCACAAACTCACCCGTTGGAATCAGTTTTGCAAGGGAGGGAGTACTATTATTACTTCATCAAAACTGATCAAATGGGGTAAGAAAAACAACCCTCGTTGAACATCATGTGTTGGGCATGAAAAACACCCCAGTGTTTCTGCAACCTGGTAGTTATTGACTCACAGGGTGAGACTGAAGAAAAAAAATTACGAGGATGAAAGTGAAAACCTTTTTTTGGGACAATAACGAAAGTGAAAACTTGTGTAATAAGAACGACCATTAATCTTGTAACGGTCAAATATTAAAATCACAAAACCCCCCGAATAAATACGTAACTAAAACAAATATTTAAAGTAGATGTAACCTCCAAATAAACGTAAAAATACATACGCATGAGTTGAAGATTATAATTCTAACCAAACTCAAAGTTTTACTCAATTACAGGGATCTTCTTTCTCATCTACTAGCAATTGCAGGGCTTTCATAGAGGTGAAGAGGAAGGCCTGGAGATAGCAAAGCCTCCAGCGAATTTGCTTTTGGCAGGGCAAGCCCCAGCCCTTCACGCATGTCCACTGCCTCCTCACCAACCCTGCTCATATCAAAACCCTGAACCAAACGAGCCAGAATTAATTGGACCAACTTGCAGCCCAAAAACCATGTCAGGGCATGACCTCCTGCCTGAGCTGAACGGAATGTACTCAAAATTCCTCATTTAGGGATTCTTGACATTGGGATCCTGTTCCTGTCAAAACTTATAATGTTTTTCATCTCTAGTCAAGTTCTTAAATGGAGGAGCATAAGAAGCTCAATTGAAATGAAGAAAGTTCAATCCAAATGTAACAATTCAGCATCAAGCACAGATATTATCAAAAAAATAACAAAAACCCATATAACAAAACTCATATTTAAAATCCTATAAAAACAAGTAAAACAAAAACCCAATTCATGGCAATCAAAACAGAAACATAATATGAAACCAAAGCCAACAAGAGAGGGGAGAGAGAAAGGGAAAATACAGCTGGCCATATGCATCTTTATGAGCTTGAAGTCTTCAAGAGTGATGCCTTTCTCTTTATCAAGTGGGAAAGACCACATCCACATCTTCCTGGTCGAAAAGTTGTTTGCTGCGTAGAACAAACAACCCATAATCAGAAACAAGGAAAAGCAAAACACACAAAAATCAGAAACATGGAAAACAATATTGGGTTTTGAAATACATACTAGTGGGACGAAGTCCAGAAATTGGCAGCTGATTTTGTTGCCCATTCAGATATCTAATGGGCAATAACGCTACGAGCACCAACTTGTTTACCAACTTTTGGATACCAACACATGTGGCACATGACATGGCAACTCATGTCATCTGCCATCTCATCTATTTTAATTACATAATTTGTTATATAAATAAAAGAATTTCACACCGAAAAAAAAAACAGAAAAAAAAATAAATAAACCCAACCGTTTAATATTTATGGTCCCTTCCGTCTTCCTCCTTCGCCCCCCCTCTTGAAAACCCCTAGAAATTCAACAGTCCTTCAATTTCTTTTCTCTCTCACTCTCGCTCTCATCTCATCTCATCTCTTAAATAAATGGAAGTGACAAAATATTAATGCATTCATAAATTACGAGAGTATAGGGTACATACGTATACGTACATGAAGCCATTTACAAGAGTAACATTGTCCTATATCTTCACCTCCTTACTTAAAATTCATAACGTTACATATTGGGCACAAGTGAATTTATTATATAACCAATATATGATCAAGTGAACTATAACGTTTCATGCCCGCGTTTGAAGGTGCCAACTTCTTCAAATACATTATTTATAGAGGTGAAGAGGAAGGCGTGGAGATAGCAAAGCCTCCAGCGGATTTGCTTTGGGCAGGGCAAGCCCCAGCCCTTCACGCATGTCCACAGCCTCCTCACCAACCCTGCTCATATCAAAACCCTGAACCAAACGAGCCAGAATTAATTGGACCACTTGCAGCCCGAAAACCATGCCAGGGCACGACCTCCTCCCAAAGCTGAACGGAATATACTCAAATTTATTTTGACCTTTGAATTCCACATCAGCATGGGTGTTCATGAACCTCTCGGGTTGGAATTCACTTGGGTTGGCCCACATGCGCGGGTCCCGCTGTAGTTTCCAAATGTTGACTAGTACACGGGTGCCCTTGGGCACGTGGTAGCCTGCCAGGTGGCAATCCTCCGTGGCTTCACGCAGGCCTGTGAGTGGGCCAGGTGGGTATACGCGTAGGGTTTCTTTGAGAATGGCATGGAGGTATTTGAGGTTTGGGAGGTCTGATTCTTGAACCCATCTGTCTCTTCCTACGTGGATGTCCAGTTCTTGTTGGGCAGCTTTTAGGGTTTTTGGGTTGTTCAGTAGTAGGGAGAGTGCCCATGTTAGAGTGACGGATGTACTTTCTGTGCCAGTTAGGATTAGAACCTGCCAAAAGCAATTAAGGAAAACAATTAATATTTGTATAATAATTAATACAAATAGCTTTATATTGTTACACTAAATTAAACTTACCAGTGCTGTTGATTTGATGACATTATCAAGGCTATGGCCAGAAATTACATCCTCCTCCTCTTGCAAGCTAGACATCATCACATCCATCAAGTCACTTTCAGCCCTATCGATCTTGCCTTGAGGCCTTGATCTTTGGCGATGTTCTTCAAGCCATTTCCCAAGCACACAGTCAAGTTCCTTAAAACACCTTTTCATGGAACCCACATGCCCAAACAAGCTGTCTAGCCACTCAAGCCACGGCATAGCATCTGACCAAACAAAAACACCAAACAGATACAAAGCCTCCTTCACAGCCTTTTCAAAACCCCAAGCCTCACTGTTTTTCTCATTATATTCCTCAGTTGTAAATCTCTTCCCAGCAATCAGCCTCACATTTATGTTGAACGTTAAGAACTCAATTAACTCACTCAAATGCACTGGCGTGGGGCCTGCGCCATTCTTCATGCAAAGTGAAAGCAAAGTTTTTATGAACAAGTCAACCTCCGAGGTCCTAACGTGGCTCAGCGTTTCGACTCTTTTGGTCGAGAGGAGCTCCAGCGTGGCCAACTTGCGGATGTGGCGCCAATAGGGGCCGTATGGGGCTAGGAAAAAAATTGCATTGTCGTAGCCCAAGTACTTGCCTCCTGCAATGCTTGGTCGTGTGGCAAAAACTCTGTCGTTTGTTGTGAGACATTCTTTGACTGTCTCCCAGGCGCTGAGGACCAGCACTTGGTGTTGGCCAAGCTTGAGGGAGAAGATCGGTCCATGGTCATCGGCCATGGCTCCCAGGGTTATGGCAACTGGGTCTTTGCCACGTAGCAGAGGAAGGTGGCCTATGAAGGGCCATGCTCCAGAGGGTTGGGGGACTAATTTGGTCGTCACGGTCGTCTTTGTGCTGGTGATCTTCTTCTTAGTGTGAGCTGTGATTCTCAAGGCAACGTAGAGAAGAAGCAAAGATAAAATTGTTTCAAGAATTTGGATTGGGGAAATTGCAAAATCCATGGTGGTGGAGAGAGAGAGAGAGAGAGGGAGAGTGTGTGTTACAAATGGGAATATAATTGCGTGTAGGATATAGTTCATTTTGCATGTGTATTTATAGACAAATTGAAAATGAGTGCAAATTGAACCTCACACGCGCACAAACATTAGGTACGTGTACATATCACATGCAATTGAGATACACATTGGATGCTCACCACATGTCAAATATATATGATAATTAGATATTTAATTTTTTTCTCTTTCCAACATCTATGGTTTTCATTCACTGGAGTGGCGGTTGGAGTTTGATACTTTAAAAATAATAATATATATGCGCGATACTTTGGCTCTATATATTCGTATATACATTACTACTAAATTATGAACATACAAGTAGGTGTTTGTAGGGTTATTAAAACTCAGTTAATTAACGGGTCTTGACTTGTAGACTAGTGGTCTCAGTCAGGGGCAGATCCAATTAAAGCCAACTATGGGCAGCTGCCCACACTTAGGCCCAGTTTGGGGTTGTTGTCACTTTAAAAAAAAGTTGCTTCTGCTGTGCTTTGAAAATAATTAGTTGTAAAGTAAAGCAGCTCCATGTTCGGTAAATAATATTTTTAAAGTGCTGTTAATACAAAAAGCAGTATCAAAACCGTTTGGTAAATTTTAATATAAAATTGTTGTAACTATTAATAATGACTAAACTAAACATGATGTTAAAACTGTTATGTACTAATCATGTGGTGGTAGTGGTAGTGATGGAGTGGATGTTGTGGTGGTGATGAAGGTGGAGTTGGTGGTTATAGTAGTGGTGGTGGTGGGGATGGCGGCGGTGGAGGTGGTGGTGGTGGTAGTAGTGTCAGCATGGTGGTGGTGGTGGTGTTGGTTTTGGAGGTGGTGGTGGATGTGGAGGTTTTGGAGGAGGAGGTGGTTGTGGTGGTGCTTGTGGTGGTGGTGGCAGAGGAGGAGGAGGAGGATGTGGTAGTGGTGGTGGTTGTGGAGGTGGTGAATGTAGTGGTGGAGGTGGATGTAGAAGTGGAGGTGGTGTCATTTTTAAAAATGAATAATGGTATTTTGGGAATTAAAAAATTCATTAAAGGCTCATCTCTGCTTCAACTTAGCCGCCAAACTCATTATTTGACAAAAGTCTGCAGCCCAACAAATCAAACTCGCTACTTCAATTGATTTTACAGGGTAGTACTTAGTTGTTTTTTACAAACTAATTTCATTATATTCTTATTTATATGCATTCAGTTTGTACAGATGATTGATATTATTATTATTATTATTATTATTATTATATATCTTGATAAAAAAATTATATAAACTATTTATGACAGTTATGGAAAAATATTTAAAAGAAAATCCGAGTTGGAGTTGTCAGGACCTATTGGGAGAAGTGATGATAGTTCAAAGCAAAGTTGCATAGAAATCAATATGTCAGATCTTCATTCTGATCCTGGTTTACGAACTCGGATTTTAGATTATGTGTGTACCATATCTGACCCTCTGCTCACACTCTGACACGTGGAATGGTAAGCTCTCCCAAGCGCCTAGCCAATCGGCATTAGCTACCAATGACTTCGAGCCAGGCCTATAATCGGTACGGGTTGGCGATTTTGCGGAACAAACCTCGAAGGCTCCGCCCTAAATATCCAAAGACTCGTGTTAACCTCGGAGGACCCTCCCACGAGTCCCACATCGAAATTAAGTACATAAAGCATACTAAATGCCCTCTATAAATAGGCCCCTTTACTACAACACAAGGGGTAAGACTTTTCATTTTGACTTTTATACTAAATACATTGTCAGTAGCAAAAGCTCTTAGAAAGAAACTTACTTCGGCATCGGAGGGTCTTAGGCTAGTCCCACACCGGTGCCATAGACCTCACGAGCCTCGACTTCTTTTGATTCAGGATCGGCATCCCAGGACGAGAAGAACCTGCGTTGAATGCTCAATCGATCCTTGATCGTCCACATCACCTGTAAGTTGCACCTATCTCTATCTGTTTAGTTTTAGTGCCAACAGATTACAATCCAAACATTCGAGATGAAATTAGAAGAGCTTACTTACAAAAAGGCCCTTGTCAGCCTAGAAATCATGATTTCCCTCAAAAGAAATTTGGAAAAGAGTCAAGACGATTCAACCCGGCATGGTTTGATGAATTCCCTTATTGGTTGGAATATAGCATCAAAGAAGATGCTGCATTTTGCTTATGTTGTTATCTTTTTAAAACAAATTTGGGAGAGAAAGCTGGAGGTGACTCATTTGTTGGTACAGGTTTTTCAAATTGGAAGAAAAAGGAAAGATTTCAAGTTCATGTTGGAGGTCCCAACAGTTCCCATAACCAAGCTCTGAAAAAATGTCAAGCCTTAATGAATGAAAAACAACATATTGAAAATGTTTTCCATAAGCACTCACATCAATCTCGAATTGACTATAGAATCAGATTGAATGCATGTGTTGATTGTATTAGATTTCTTCTACGACAAGGTCTTGCCTTTTGTGGCCACGATGAGTCTGAGGATTCAAGCAATCAAGGTAATTTTCTTGAGCTTTTGCAATTTCTTGTTGATCACAATGAGGAAGTTAGAGCTGTTGCTTTAAAA